TCATATCAGACAAATAGAAAACTTAGCCCAAATGAAGCTCCATCTACATTCAGAACCTCCAAAAACAGAGTGCATATGTGAATGTACTAGAATATGTTTATTTTCTCAAGATTGTGGACAGAGAAGGGCCCAAGGTAAGGCAAGGACCAGACTTAGAAGAAGGCAAAACCCAGAAGAGATCAATGCTCAGTACAAGACTGGACATCCGAAGTCAGGCAAATGGAAGTGAGGACACCTCACTCAGCACCCAGTAAGAAAAGTGAAGGCTAAGGATTAGGCCTTGGGCATGCACATATTTAGGAGGTTAAGGGAAGAAAAGAGGATGTAGACTGAGAGAAAGGAGGAGAACAAGAATAGTGTCATTTCAAGGAAAGTTTGGAGAAGGATTCAAGCACAGAGGTCAATAGAGTCAGGTGCTGCAAAGGAGAAAGAAGAACAAGAAAAAGTCATTGGGTTTGACACTTAGAAGTCTTTGTTGACTTTTAAAACCTTCCATGAGAGCAACTGAACAATGTGTATCAAGAGTCAGAAAAAAAACATATACTCTTCGCCCCAATAATTCCACTTTTGGGAATCTCACCAAAGGAAATAATTCTAAACTTAGAAATGTTATCTGCTTAAAGATATTTGTTACAGAGCTATTTAGAAGGGAGGGGAATGGAAAGAGCCTAAATTCTCAACAAATAAAATGCTGAACTAAACTAAGGTATGTTCATTTGACGATCTATTAAAGTCATTTTTAAAGTATAAAATCAACTTTTAAATATAATTTTGAACTAAAAGGAGTAAGACTCCCTTAAAGAAATGACTGATTGCAGGTTCAAAGCAGGGGAAGTACAAGTTGAGTCTGGAATATCTTGTGTAAGAAAGCTAGTAAGTGCTTAAAGATTGATAGGACCTAGTCAAAACAACCTAGAAGCCTTCTGAAAAGTCTCCTATTGGACAAATTTCAGACAATTTGAGCATCAAAAAGAATATTGATAGTAATGGATTATATCACACTGAATAAAAATTTTTGAGAGCATGGAGGGAGAGATGAGGAGACAGAAAAAGAAGAAAGAGGAGGAGGAGGAAGAAGAAGAGGAGGAAGGAAAAGAAGGAACTCTTTTACAGAACAATTCCAGATAATATCAGAAGAAATGACATAATTAGACATCACGATTTTACAATCCCAGTGTAATAGCAAATGTAAGCATAGATCATCATAAAAGCTAAAACCACTGGATAAAACATTGTTGGGAGCAAATAGTTAAAAGGTCTTAGGACATCACACCAGAACTTACTTTAAGTTGTAAAGTGGAGAGATGTGATGAACTCCAACTTAACCAACTAATCAAGCCTAGCATCACCAATAAAAGAACAAATGTGCACTATTGACCTGCCATTGTGACACCCTGGAAAGTCCACAACATCCTCTATGTAGTGGTCTTTTCGAAACTAAAAGTCTTTTCAAAAGTGTTTAACCTGAATATAATTATGAGGAAACTAAGGAAAAACCCAGAATGTGGGACATTCTACATGACAACTGCGCCCAGAAGCTTCAAAATGATCAATGTTATGAAAAACAAACTAGCAAAAATAAAATTGGGAACTGTTCATGATTAAAAGACACTAAAGAAACTTAAACAAATAAATGCAATTAAGGAAACTTGATTAAATCCTGAATTGGGACAAAAAATATGTTTATAAAAGACATTTCAGGGTGGAATAAAAATAATTTAATATAGACTGTATAATAGATAATACTATTGTGATAATGGTCTTATGGCCCTATAGAAGAATACTTTATTCTTAGGAAATGGCTGCTGACGTATTTAGAGTTGAAGTGTCATGATATTTGCAACTTGCAATAAAATGGTTAAGGAAAAAAATGGATAGAACGAATACGGCAAATTGTTAAGTAGTGAATCTAGGTGAAGTGTATACAGATTTCGACAGTACTTTCTTTGAGCTTTTCTGTAGGTTTGAAATTTTTTAAAAAAAACTTGGAAGAAAATAAAACTTACATAATAAAAATCGGGAAATTATGCAATGTTTAGTAAGAAAATAAGGACATAAAATTGTATATACCACAATTATAGCTATATAAAATAAGAACATGAGAAATGATCTTTATTCATTTCAACATTTGTTAAGCTCTTGCCACATGATAGGCTCTGTACTAAGTGATGGGAACACCCTGTTCCCCTGATTCTACGATATGATGCTTGACATGCTTAACATGCAAGACTTTGGATCTGGTCAATGCCACCCAAGTATCAGAGGAGTATTGCTATGACAGCTTCGCCTCTGTAATCTTGGTTCCTAGAAAACTGCCTGCCCCCATGAGGTGCTCAATAGTGCCTGCTTCTAGGAGCCCACACTTTCATGAGGAAGGAAAATTCATTAACAGATAATTTAAAACAAGATTAAGTACATGGAGCACACAAAGTATTACAGCTTTTTAATTATTGTCTAAACTCTACCTTAATGCTATCCTCCCTCCCTCTTCATCTAACTTTATTTTCTACTCGTCTCCTCTATGAATTCTCCCTTTCTTTATGGTATTCTGATTCCCACCTCAATGCCTTTACTCAGCTCATGCTGACCTCCTTGGAATGACCTTTCACCCCTTTGCTTCGCCTGTGCAAATCTTACTCAGCTCAGGTGCACCTTCTCCAGATCTCCATGAAATCTGTCCTCTTTTGTGCAGACTTGATTGATTCCATTCCTCTGAGCTGTATTTCTTAAACATATGTGGCTTCATTTATCACCTACCATTGTAAGCATTTTACATTTTCAAAGCTTGTTCATTTCCATCATCTCCTCTAATCCTTACACAACAATCATCATGCCCTTCGCAGATATAAGGAAAGTGAGGAGCAGTGGCACTGAGTATCTTGCCCAGAGATCTGGCTAGAGCCTGCAACTGTTGGACTCTGGAGTCAGACACCTGGTGATTGAGGAGAACCTTCAATATGGATTAACTGGACTATTCTTCTGGTATTTATTTCTACGTCAATTTTTAAAACTGTATATTTTTACAATGAGCACATGTTATTTTCTCTATTATACTTCATGAAGTCGGGCAGAATATCAGATATTTCAGTATTTCCTACAGCCCTGCTACTCAAAGTGTGTGAGGGGGACCAGCAGCATCTGTATTACCTAGAAATCTTTTAGAACTACAGTCTGGGACCCCACCCAGCTAGACCTACAGAATCAGAAACTGCAATTGAACAAGCTCCCCAGGAGATTCACGTTCACATTAAAGTTTGAGAAGCACTGTCCTATAACACCAACTAGAATATGCATAAAGCAGAAATTCAACAAATATTTTGAGACCTGGGGTCCTGGGAATCCTAGGGGATTCTAAATTTTGCCATCATGTCATTCTCTACTCTCCCAGCTTTGAGTCCCCTTCCTATTGGGGTCTCATATGGCTCTTCACTCCCTCAGAAGGCAGATACGAGCTTAAGAGTGAAGGAGGCACTGAAGCAGTGCCCAAGGGGATGATGGTGATGTGAAGCTGGTACTTTCCCAGCAGAGCCAAAAGCAAATGTCGATGTCTGCTTCAGGGCTACAACATTTCTGGGGAGAAATTGGCTTTACTTCTAAAACAAAAATGCCTATCGCTTGAGCATCCGAGCTTCGGAAGGATAAGGGGTTTGTGATAGACAACATTGGAACTGCTTCTAGACTTGATTTATTGACTTATCTGTTTCTATTCTGTCACTAATCTGATTGACAATGAAACCTGGGATGTGACTCAAAGTGATTTCTGCGTGTACGCACGCTGCATTCAGTCAGGGCCCAGTGGGCCTGCTCGGAGCAGTTGCTCCTGTGGATGGAAGGCATTTGTGCAAGGGCTGTTTGCATGTGAGGAGGGCGTGTGTGGAAACGACACTGGAGAAGTGGGTGCCTCTAAGGAGTTGATTGTCTGTGATGGGAGATGTGTATTCCTGGCTTGGGAAGGAATGCGGGTTCGTGTTTGTGCGGTGTGAGCAGTGGATGGGAGGAGGTAGGTGGAGCTCCCATGGGAGGTGGTAGTTACAGACACATCTTAGGAACAGTCCCTTTTCTCACCCTCCCTAGCTTTTCCTCCTAGGATATTATTTACCAATTAGGGGGCCTTCGGGGAAGAGAGAGGAGGGTTGGGAACCTAGGAATCTGAGGGCTCCACTCCTGGCACAGCGCGCAAGCTGAAAGCTGGGGAGGGAGAACAGATTGGGACAGGTGAGCCCCCGCAGAAGCACGTGTGGCGACACGTGAAGAATTTATTCTCAGTCCAGGAGTGGCATCACCTGCCCTGGGGTCGCCCACCTCACTTCTCATGAGCCCACCCGGCTGGAAGCCCGCGCCTCTCTTCTCTGCGGGGGCAGGGGAAGGCGGACAGTGTTAGGGAGCGGAACCCCGCCCCTCTCTTGTT